CGAAATGGAAGTAAGCTCAACAATTATGAAACAAGAGATTCCTCGAAAGCCAACTTTTCTTCGCATATACTCCAGTTTTGACCTTCCCTACATCTTATCACCATCCTCAGCGGGACTCGAACCATGACACCTAAACCACTACGCCACATTGTCATGTATACCCTTGGGTCATATGGCGTTTTTTCCCATATCACATTTTTTGGTTGTCGATGAATCAAACTTATATTTGCTAGAGCGATCGACTGCATTACTTATTTTTCGTTTATAGTCTCGGAAACCTGCTCGAAACGAAAAATAAGTGGCCAATATAACTTTGCTTTATCGGCAATCCCACCAGAGTATGTAATTTAGGAACATGTCTGGCCTTCCTTAAATTCACATTTGCCCCGGGCATTTGTGGCACTGTGGCGTAGTTGTTGACGCCTCAAAAGCACAAGATACAGTGCGATGGTTCGATTCCAGTTGGAGGTGTTGCTAAGACCTAGGCGGGCTCGAAACGGCAGTCCATTCCAGTTGGGATAAGAACACCTTTTGGGTAAGCATCGATATGTGAAATTAAATGTTAGCGTCAGCTCTGACAATATCATTGTGGGAAAAGTCAACTACTCGTCATTCACTACCTTAAACGAGAGGATGCATACATCTGATATAAAATGAAAGCTGTTCCAACATCCATTTGGCGAGAAAATTTCTCGAAAGATTTGCTTTACCGCACATCAAATCTCGAGTCCATCTTCCTTTCCATCCGTCCACCCAGCAGCAATTGTTCGAATCCAGCTTGTCTCTTTTCATCTCCGGCCCAAAATACAGACCAGCCGAGCCTCGGTGAAGTGGAGGGTTGAGGCCTCCAAGTCGATGGTGACGGCGTCCTGGTGTTCGGCAGGAGGAGGGGACACGACGAGTCCGATTGCTGTTGGGAGCGGAGTCTGGCCGAGTCTGGTCGCCAGCAGACGGCCTCGGCTTGGCTGTGGCCACTTCATCAAGGCTCGGTCTGCTCAGCTAATCCGTTTACGGGCCATCTGTTGCACAAGAGGCCGGCCTCGTCTTCAGCCCCCCTGAAACCGCGAGTCGGGCACAAATTGCCCAATCACCTCGACGACTGCCTCCGGTCAGACTTCCAAGTTATTTGAGTCCAGTCATGCGAAATCCGGCTGGCAGCACCAGATAGCTTAACTGGAGTGGCCTGAATCCGCGAGGCAGGCGAGAAAATAGCAGCAGTCGCGGTGCGCAACACACGAACTTTTGGCCGAGTTTGTCTCGTTCGGCCTGCCAATCTTCTCATCCGAAATGGGCCAAGCTGTTGTTAACGCCTCTTTCCTCTTCTCTCTACTACACTCCCATTCACGAGGATTACACGAGCGTCCGCCTTTAAATCGCCTAAAACGGTCGAGGCTGAGTAAACTGACAAATTAAGTAAGTAAGATCAGTTTAGAATACTACTCACACGGTATATAGTAGTATCGTTGAGCATAGGGTTGGAGGTAAGTTTGCCTCATCGGCACTGAAACTAGACTGCAATTCGTTTTCAGGGAAAAACCTTTTGGTAGAGCTAAGCGCGAATTTACCGCCTCGAAAACCGGTGGCGACGTGTGGCGAAGATTGTTGGATTTGTGAGCAAGTACTTGGCCAACCGAGCTGCGAAGAAAAGTAAGCTTTCGAAA